TTTTACCTTATGCATAGTTACTGGAATAATGTGATCCTTTCCATTGAAAAAAATTTTTAATTCATCTTTCCTCTAATCTATAACACATTTATATTTATAGAGAAGTGAGTTTAGAAATATCAATATTAGTTTAGGGATACGTATAACTACAAAATCTTTACATATAATAAAACCTAAAGGGAATATTATTGAAAAATTACAAATAATACCAATAGATTCTATTAAAATTGTAGCAACTTCACTAAGATCATATTTTTTTGATTTATCAATTGATTAATTTACACATTTAACAATGTTTTCTAATATAATTGGAGGTTCAGCTCTACTATCTAGTACCAATACTAAAATTTTTAAGCATTTGATTTTAATTATTATAGTTACAAGGCTTATAATAGATTTTTTTCTTCGAACAAAGTCTATCTTCAAAAATTATCTAATGTTTCTTCTTCTTCATCTGATTCTAGAATTATTAGAACAGGTTCTCTATAATTACACAGTGAAATTCAATGTAACAGAATCTTGATAAACTGGAACTAATCTTATAACAGAACTTTTTATTAGAACTAAATCATATATATTAGTAAAATCTCGATAATCACTATAATAGAATAAAATCTATATCAGTTATAGTAAAAATGATTTGATATATCAGAACATGTAATAATCTACAATAATGAGCCAATAAAATTAATTCATGTGACTCCAATAATCTTTTTTTTAATATTGAAAGATTTTAAATTTTTCGCATTTATTTTCCAATCCTTTTGCTTTTATTTTTCAATCTCTTTTACTAGCTTCTATTTATACTTTTATTTTCAATTTCTTTTATTTAAAATAAAAATGGAAAAAGTTAACAGAAAGGATTTAGATAATGATAATAACTTTCAAAAAAAAGAAAATTTTTAACATTTGCTCAAAAAAAGAACTTTGTGAAAAGTATTAAGATATAAAATGTAATGGTATGCAATTAGCAAAGGAATATAGAATTTTTGATAGTGCAGTATCTGAATTTTTAAAAAAATCTGAGCATTGGTTTTCTATTAACACTACTTTATCAAATGCAAATAATTTTCATAAAAAATTAAGTAATTTTTCACAAATAAAAGAAATCATTAGTATTAGTATCTGGGTTGATCAGCAAATTTCAAGAAGTTTAATTCTTAGTAGACCTATTATTCAAGAAAAAGCAAAAGAATTTGCTATATTATTTGATATTAATAGTTTTTCAGCATCAGGAGGATAGTTAAATAATTTTAAATGTGGAAATAACCTGCACACATTTAATATAAATGAAGAAGCTAGTAGTGCTCCAATTAATAAAATTTCACAAATGTGAATTGAATTGCAAGAAGTTCTTCAAGAATATGAATTAAGAAATATTTGGAATTGTGATAAAACTGCTCTTTTTTGGTACTTAGAACTATATAAAATAATAGTACATTCTCTAGTACTTGATAAAAAATATCCAAAAGAACATATTAGCATATTAGCAACATGTAATGCATCTGAAATAAGAAATTACCTTTACTTTTTATTCATAAATATCAAATATCACATGTATTAAAAGGGATTAAAAAAAATCTCTTCCTATTTGGTAATATTAGAATTCAAAAGCCTGGATGCAAAGAAGTATTTTAAGTATTTTCTTAAAAGATTAAATTTAAAATGGTTAAGGAAAGGCTTTATATTATTTTATTAATAGATAATGCTAAATGTCATGATTGTGAAAATATTAATAATTTATCAAATGTTAAAGTTCATTTTTTATTACCAAATACAATTTTACATCTTCAATCACTAGATTAAGGTATAATTTACAGGTTAAAAGTACAATATCACAAATTATTATATTAAAATTGTATTCAGGTTTATGAGTTTTATAAAGAAGATGATCCAATTTCACCACTAATTGATATTCTTGACTCTATTAATTTAATTGCTAAAGCTTAGGAAAAAGTAACTAAAAAAACAATCATTGATAATTGGGTTAAAGTTGAAATTCTTTTTGATAATATTAATTTTAATATTTTTGATGATAATGATGATATTGAAGAAGATAATATTGAAGAATTACAATCATTAATTAATGAATTACCAATTACAGATCCATTAAATATAGAAAAATATATTAATATTGATAATGAATTAATTGTTGAAGAAGAATTATCATTAGAAAAAATTATTAATATTGTTAGAGGTCAAGTTGCAGCGAAAGAGGTTGAGGTAGAAAAAGATGAAATCATAATCTCATCAGATATATTAAATAGCATTAAACAATTAATTAAATATGTTTAACAAAATGATTGAATATTAATAATTTAGATATGTAAAGTTTATTTAATTTGAAAAAAAAAATTATTTTTGATAATAGAAAAAGGCAGAGGCAAAGTAAATTAGATGATTTTTTTTATTAGATGTAAAATTTTTTTCAAAATAAAATAAAAAATAAAGAAAATTTTTTTTGTATAAAAATAAAAATTTGATTTAACAGATCTTCATATGATTTTATATAAATTCTGATATATCAAAAATTTTTATCATATCAGAATACTTGATATACTAGATATTTTTGCAAAAATAGATAGTTCTGTTATATCAAATTTCACTATGTATTATCTTGAATAGAGGGTAGCTTTTTGAAATCAGATTTAAGACTTTATAATAAATATAGAAGTAATAATTTTTTAATATATCTATAACAATTTTATGGATTTCTTTTAAAGAGATCTGCTTTGACTTGTAAGGTTTAGATGAGTTAAAAATTCAAGATTTCAATCTCTTTTTCTTAGACTTAGATTTCTTAAAATTCTGTTTCTAATTTACTTTATTTTGACTTAATAATATTAACTTGCATACTCTCAGTTTCAAAAGATATCATTAGAATCAGATCTAGAATCAAAATTAGAATAATTATTAGAAGACTTATAATCAGAACTTGAATTAGAACTAGAGTTATTGATAGTCATATTAATATTACCTTTTTTCTTAGATCTGTTTTTATTAGAAAATCTAGATTTGCTCTTTTTTTATTTTTAAGATAGTTGCGAAAATTATGATTTAGTTTACCATACTTTGAATATTTATATTAAGATGATTTTAAAACTACATATATTGCTTATACTATTTTTGCTAGTTAATTCCTAACTCTTTGAATTGTAATCTTAAATCTTTAATTAAATTATTGTCATAAGCTTCTTCTAGTAAACCTATATTATTAAAACACTATCTAAAAAATGGTTTATAACAAGATCAGCTTTTGTTTCTCTAGTCAAAAGGGTTTCTTCAAAAATTGTTATCCTTTAGCAATAGTTCTCTTCAAACTTGCTATAATTTTTTTAAAATTATCTTGTAAGTGTGATCTGTTCTTTAAAATTTAGAAGAGATAGTTCTGGTTCTTTTGAGGTTTAGAAGAGATAGTTTACGAGATAGGTTAAGTTTGTGTAGATATTATGATAGATTTTACAAAGTTTTCTATTTCATCTTTAGTCATACCAGTATTATTTATTATATAAGAATCTTTTGTATTAGCTTTAAACTATAATCGAGAAATAATAGAGTAAGATTTAGGATTATACTGATCCAACATCATTTCAGCTTTTTGTTTTTCAATTTCTTCTAATTTTGATAGTAAAGTGGAAATCGAATATTTGAGACCAATATATCTTATTTCTATTTTGTTATTAGGAGAAAGACCCTAAAAGAATTACTATTTAACTATTTCTTTTTGATTTAATTCTGAAAATGTTGAATAGGCAAGACCAACTATTCTTTTCAATTTTATATAAAAATGAACTATAGAATTAGTACCTTGAGTAATATTATAAAATACCACTTTTGATTTTTTAGCAGTTATTATTGAATAATTAATTCTGAACTAATATATTATCTGTCTAATGCGAATCTCTGGAGATATAGTATTTTTCTCTTGTATTAGTATTAGAATAGTGAAATGATCCAGATAATTCATGATTATAAGCGGATATCTATTGGCTAAAAAGATCATCCAGATACCTATTATATATTTGTAAAAAATCAAATAAAAAATTCACAAATAATTTATCAAATATTCATGAATGATCTATAAGTTATATGAATAGTATATAATTTATGAATATTCACAAATTTGCATTTTTCATAAATAAAAAATTCTAAATATTTTTATGAACAATGATATTTTATTTATTATTTGACTTTATAACATATAAATCTAAATATAAAATATTATTGTAACTATTATAATAAAAGTAAAAGCTATTGAAAAAATTAATTTGTAAGATTAGGGTGAATATTTTTAATAAGATATACATATTTTTTTTAAAAAACATAAGTTTATTGAATAATTTTAGATTCAGTTATATTCTTTTAGCAATTAATAAATTTCTTGCATTGCTAAATAACCTTTCACTTGGAGTAGATATTGCTGAAATAAGAAGGTAAATTTAGGCTAACTTTAAAAGAATTAAAAGTTGTTCCTTATTATCATACCACTAAATAAAAAGATTAAAATTGAGGCTTATTTCAGAAAAAGATAAATACATAGTTATCTCATTATTATGTTATGATAAACGTCATTTAAAAATTAAAAATATGAATAATTCTGATATTATTGTTATAATAGTAGTATTATTAGTTGATGAAGTATTGATTTTAAATTTATTATATTTATTTTCCAATAGTTCTTTTATTTTATTATGAATTTCTTCATCAATAAATTCAAAAGATTTAATCTGAGGATCAAGTAATGCTGAAATAAGAGTCTCACTATTTCATTATTTCAATACAATTCTATTGTATTATATAAATTAATTATTAGTTACTAGTGAATTATTTAAATTTAATTTTTTCCTGATGCTTGAGGTATATTATCTTTATATTCTATTCGTTCTTCTCTATATTCTCTATATTCTTCATATTCTTCTTCTTTTCCTTTATCTCCTTCAAAAATATCAGCAATTTCTTTTATATTATTCATATTATTACTATTATTTTTATTTGGTGTGTTTTATAAGATTTTTTATTTCTTTCAATATGGAACTCATAATACTATAAATTACATATTTACTTGTTCTTAAGTAATCTGTAACATTAGCAAATCCTTTTAAAATCATAATCATTAGCAAGAGATAGTATTATTACTAAAATATTAATATATGGTTTAATTTCTAATAACCTTTTTCATATTAAAGAACTAGAGTTCTATTATATTGTAACATCAGCAATATAATGATGAAAATATGTACTTGTTTTACCAGGTTTCTAAAAAAATTTTTTATAAATATAATAATAAAACAAATAAATACATATTTTTAATATTTTTAATTATTAATTATTATTTTATTTTCTATTTGAATAGAAGATATTTAAATATTTTCCAATCTTTTTGATTGTTTAGATCACATAAAAAAATCAATAAGTCTTTTTGTCCTTAACACAAGTAGTTTTACATATGCAAATTCTTTTTCAACAACTAACTGTAAGGTATGAGCAGTACAAGGTTGTCAGATTATATTTTTAGAGATTATATTTATGTCTTTTATCATCTTTTTCATATTTGAACTATTATCTATTATAATTGCATTGACCTTTTCTCTTAACATCTATAGATCTAATATCTCAAGTAAAGTATCACTAATATATGCTGCATTATGTGAATAACAAATATTTGAAATTTTGTAATTTTGTAAGAACAAGTTTATATAATTTAAAATCTTTATCCAGAAAGCAATATGTAATTCCAATATATTCTTGATAATTTTGAGAAGTTCAAAGGTCAGTAGTTAAATTAACTAAAATTACATACTTTTTAATATATTCAATAATTAAGAAATATGTATGATTATATGCTTTATAAATAATCTGTTTTACTAATTTGATATCAGACATTACAAATGAAAGATCTAGATTATGTAGAAAAATTTTTGAAATATTTCACTTTAGACAAATCTAAGTAGAATTGAATCAGCAATAATCCAATCAATAAGTGATTGTCTTAACTCTTTTTGCTTAGCTTCTTTATATATTCTTACTGTATTGGTAATAGTAGTTTGAACCTTTTTTTAAAATTAAAATGTTAATTATAATGATTTTTAATAATAATAGAAAATAAATATACTAAACATACAAGTTTCCTTCTATTTTTGTATTTTCGATAATTTGATAAGTTCTTACAAGATGTAAAATGAGATTGCTTGTTGAATTTCTACTTATATAAAGCTGTCTATACAACTTTTCATCTGTTATTTT